AAGAATAAAGATAGATTGAAAGTAGTAGTTAAGATTGGACGGATGGATATCATGAGCGAGAGAGTCAAGTCATGGGTCAAGTTGGACATAAAAAGACAAGGCGTTTCMATAATATTTTCGGAACACACACAGCTATAAGGGCACGTGCCTATAGAATGTTTTGGATAGGCCTTGATTGACGTCCACCAAAAGCTTCTTTGTCGCGACAGAACAATCGCTAGAGGGCGCGTGTGATTGAGAATGTTTGTAATGCAAAAGTTTACTGAACTTGGAGAAACTGGGTACCTGGTACCTCTACTATTTGAGCTAATCCCCCTTATTCTTGAAAATTAAACATACTAGTTGCGCTTTCATTACTTTATTCAATTTTAAAAATGTCACTCGAGACCAAGACGATGCTGTAATTTTGATAGATTGCAAGCATTCCCAAGAGAGTCAAAAGACAAAAGCATGGCGGCCATTGTGGTGCCGTTAACAATGGATGCTAATGAGAAATCTTTTGTTAAATGGTACCAACGCTCCCCCGAGAGGCCGCGATGAAGTATCGTGCAATCGAAGAATAGAGATGCAAAATTCTGTAGGGAAAAAAGACATCAGATTGTTTGTTACAAGGTAAGACCTTCATCCACATATTAAACACAACTTTGAACAGCAAGGACCAATAGATTATTTGTTTGTATTGTTTAGCGATAACACTGTACCAAAAAAGAATTTCCCACACCGGGAATCGAACCCGTGCCACGGCGGTGAGAGCTCCGGATCCTAACCACTAGACCATATGGGACTATGAATAATCTATGGTCTATGATTATGATTGATGCTGAAAAGCAGGGCCCAGTTGTACGAAGGTTCATAGCGCTATTGGAAAARTTTGATGCAGCAGATAAATTTCTTGGATAACATGCAGCATCGACTTATTCACTGAAAGTCGGAAAACAGATGGTATGTGTTATTATGATCGGAAAGTTCCGCAAAACTCCTTTCTCTTTCGATTGGGGGAATCCACTTTTCCCGCTCTTTTCGGTTTTTGGGTTGACGCGTGTAGCGTTTGTCGGTAAAGTCAAAGTTTCAGCATTTTTCTAATGGTTTAAATGGTAAGCATCCCGGATCAACATGAGTAAAAATAGGGGAAATTTAGGTTTGAAGGAAGGAAGTAAGGAAGGCTCATATAAAAAAATTGAACTCCAGGAATAGCAGAGCAAGGTTTCGATCCTTGGACCTCTGGGTTATGGKCCCAGCACGCTTCCACTGCGCCACTCTGCTAATGACTTGATATTTAATTGCGAGGAAAGCAAGCACGACTGTAGAGCAGACAAACTATTATCATTCGATCACATTTGCTCAGTCGTTTTTATTGGCCGATAGAACTCCACATAACTGCCCATATATGAAACCTATTTTCCTCCGTATTTTCTTTATGGTTTCTCACTGGCTTTGCTTGGAGNTTTTTAAAAAAACTTCGTAAAAATAAAAATGCATGGAGTGAAAGGAGTAGCACGGATGGACATCATGGACGAGAGAGTCATGGGTSGAGATGGATCGAGAAAGACGACGAGATTGCGAGTGTGTACACGAGTAAACCTGTGACGGGAATAAAGTTCAATAACATACCTGTATCACGCAGGAGCCGTGTTTTTTTGGCCAATCAAACTCCAATCTCGTACCCAGAGCATGTTTTTCCTCTGGCCTGCGGCAAAGAATGAGGCCTCTGGCATAATCCATATTTTGAGACCAGGATTTCTTGAACGTGCGGTATAAAAGCGCATGCGTTCAAATACTTGCCAAAAACAAAATAAAGACATGCTCCCAATTTCCAATATTTATTTTGATCAGAATTAAACACAGAACTCTGTTTGAAAGCATGATTTTCAGATGGATTATATTTCACTTTCGGAAAATAGCGCATGCGCCAAAAAATRRATTATGCCAGAGCCCTCGTTCTTCAAACGGGAGAGCCTTCAAACGTAGCAAGCAGTTGATGCAATATATTCATAAAAATGCAATGAATCACACCTTATACAATACATAGAACGACAATAGAATACATTACATCAACTGAGTGCTATGGCCAGACACTTTTGAAAAGGTTTCAAACCTTGGACCTCTGAGTTATGGCCAAGCACGCTTCCACTGCGCCAATCTGCTTAACACAGTTAGGGTACAARTGATAAAAGCAAACARCATCGTAGAGCAGAAAAAATACATGTGGCCAAATATTATCAAATATTATACATGCAACAAAAAGCTTCCAAAAATACCTTTTAGTTAAAGTAGATGGATGAGCTAGATTACTTGAAAAGGCAATCAGGCATTTAGATAGAGTTAAGAACAGTTAATGCAAAAGTTTTAAAATTTGGAGAATCCGSGTATCGATCCCGRTACCTCTCGCATGCAAAGCGAGCGCTCTTCCATTTGAKCTAATYCCCCTCGTTCTCGRAYGYTAGGCTGATACTAGTTACGCTATTATTACTTTACTCAATTWATTYTTTTAGCGATAACATTACMCTAAAAAAGAATTTCWCATACCGGAAATCGAACCCGGGCCACGGCGKTGAGAGCGCCGGATCCTARCMAMTAGACCATGTGGKAATTTGATWAAMTTSTTAAAAAATATGTATTTTAAAAAGCCTTTTCTTATGTTAAAAGATTGCAAAAAGAKCTTCAATATTTATTTATTTTATACTCTCGCGCAGTGTGAAAGTGATTCGCATTAAAGCGATATGACAACCTGGGCTACTTACCACTCGGAAAAAGCGGAAATTCGTTCCAGTTAGAAACCAAAGGGTGTATCATTCTGATCGGAAAGTTTTGAAAAGCTCGGTCTTCTGATAGAGGTTCTTACTTTTCCCGCTCTTTTCGGTTCTTCGGTAGACGCGTGTACCATGGTCGGTGAAGTCAATTGCAAAGTCCAATCAGTAGTAAACGAATTTCTAACCGGATGGACTGGTTTCATTTGTAATCACCACTGATCAACAAGAGTGAAATAAAGAAAAAAAGGAAGACTTAGGTTAGAAGGAACTAAGTAAGGAAGGAATGTAAAAATATTGAACTCCATGAATAGCAGAGCAAGGTTTCGATCCTTRGACCTCTGGRTTATGGGCCCAGCACGCTTCCACTGCGCCACTCTGCTGATGAGATAATGTATACTTGTGAGAAAAGCAAGCAGTACAGCAACTACTATCATTCTTTCTTTCGTCGTTTTGATTTGCCCAGATAACTAGCTCCAAATAACCATACCCACATATAATAAACCTTGCTCTGTTATACAATTTTTTTCCCTATATTCTGTATTTTGTTTATGGTTTCCCACTCTTTTTGATCTGTTTAACATGTGGCTTTGCTGGGAGAGTGAAAAAGGAATATATAAATGATTTTTTTATCTAACGTTAGTCTCTTTTCTCAACGTGTAAAATTGAGTGCTTAGCCATAGCTTATTAGAACAGTGCTTCAACCAGAATAACACTTGATCAAATATGCTACAACAAAAAGGCTTATCCTACGAATCTGTTCAATTGCACTGATAAGCAAGGTAAGATAAAAAGGCGACTATTTGAAAACTAGAAAAAGTGCCGCAAAACTAGTAACTTGGAGAATCCGGGTATCGATCCCGGTACCTTTCGCATGCAAAGCGATCGCTCTACCATTCGAGCTAATCCCCATTCAGTATTCTATAAGTTACAAATGTTAGTTACGCTACTATTAAGTTAGTATAATTAAATTGCTGGATCGTCGTACAAATGTTTTAGAAAATAACTTAAAAGGATGGTCAAATATAGATGGAAACATCTTTAGGTAAAAAAACTGAGAAGGTGAAAGAAAAAGAAATTAGATCGGTTGAGATATCCCTCACGTAATGATATATATCAGCGAGGACTGGTGTAGGTTTAAATGCAATAAATATGAACCCCTTGCACTGAACACGTCGGAAAGCAGGTCAAATAATTGGAGGACATAACAGTAGGTTTCCAATGTCATGTCATTGAGATTCTTTTCTTTTGTCCTCCAAATTGTGCTGCTTCACGTCACATGCAATAGGTGTACTCACATGTCTGTATACAGTCAATAGCTTACTTCCGAGATATTATTCGCTTGTCACGCACAAAGGTTTCAGTATGAGGCTACGTGCAAAATGCTCAGTCATTCGTGACAGGCGGTAAGAATAAATTTAATTTAGCACGTAGCCTCATACTGAAACCTTTGTGCGTGACAATCGAAGCATATCTCGGAGTTGGGCTATTCAAAAATTCAGTTCACAATCCCGAAAATATGAAGGCACTGAAAAAAGTCTCCTTCAACATTTCCGCACGCCTACGAAGGTTCGTGCTGTAAACCAGGCATAACAAGTCAGATAAAATTATGGAATCAACTCGGCTTCAATGATTACTACCCAGAGTTCCTTTCGGTCCAGTCGCGTAGGCTTGAGTTGGTCGACGACAAATTTTTTTGAATTGACTGTACATCTGCAAGGTCACCGCCGTTCTCGCTTTGGTGCACAGGTAAGCGTTACCTTTCAAGATGGCGCAGAGACTGTGAAGTGGACTATTGCAAAATGACGTGAAATAAGTATCTATAAAACGAAAAGAAAAGATGGACCAAAATAAGGTTAGAATGTTATGGTTAAGTAGCTAATGCTTTCCAGTTGCCCACCCTACTTGGATTGAAATATTTCCTCTTGATATGGTGAAATGCCACTGGGCAGTTACATACGAAAATGTTAAGGGATGGCTTTGTACTGAAAAAAAATAAAGTACACAGCCTTTGGAGAGACTCAAACTCTCGACCCCTGGTTTACTAGACCAGTGGTCTAACCACTGAGCTACAAAGGCACTGAATTGTACAATATTTTGTAGAGATGTGCGACTTTATCATGGTTAAGCTGATCATGATAGGTGTTTCAAAGTAATGATAAAAGGGTAAATTATACACCGTGAAAAGATGAAAACACTTACTGACGTTTCGGACGCTAGTCCTTCGTCGGTGTTTCAAAGTATTAACTTCGTAAAAATAAAGATAGATTGAAAGTAGTAGTTAAGATTGGACGGATGGACATCATGAACGAGAGAGTCCGCATGGGTCAAGTTGGACATAAAAAGACAAGGCGTTTCCATAATATTTTCGGAAAACACAAAGCCATAAGGGCACGTGCCTATAGAATGTTATGGATACGCCTTGATTGACGTCCACCAAAAGCTTCTTTGTCGCGACAGAACAATCGCTAGAGGGCGCATTTGATTGAGAATGTCTGTAATGCAAAAGTTTACTGAACTTGGAGAAACTSGGTACCTGGTACCTCTACTATNGGAAAAAGCGGAAATTCGTTCCAGTTAGAAACCAAAGGGTGTGTCATTCTGATCGGAAAGTTTTGAAAATCTCGGTCTTCTGATAGAGGTTCTTACTTTTCCCGCTCTTTTCGGTTCTTCGGTAGACGCGTGTACCATGGTCGGTGAAGTCAATTGCAAAGTCCAATCAGTATTAAACGAATTTCTAACCGGATGGACTGGTTTAATTTGTAATCACCACTGATCAACAAGAGTGAAGTAAAGAAAAAAAGGAAAAGTTAGGTTAGAAGGAAGTAAGTAAGGAAGGAATGTAAAAATATTGAACTCCATGAATAGCAGAGCAAGGTTTCGATCCTTAGACCTCTGGATTATGGGCCCAGCACGCTTCCACTGCGCCACTCTGCTGATGAGATAATGTATACTTGTGAGAAAAGCAAGCAGTACAACAACTACTATCATTCTTTCTTTCGTCGTTTTGATTTGCCCAGATAACTAGCTCCAAATAACCATACCCACATATAATAAACCTTGTTCTGTTATACAATTTTCCCCCCTATATTCCGTGTTTTGTTTATGGTTTCTCACTCTTTTTGATCTGTTTAACATGTGGCTTTGCTGGGAGATTGAAAAAGGAATATATATAAATGATTTTTTTATCTAACGTTAGTCTGTTTTCTCAACGTGTAAAATTGAGTGCTAAGTCATAGTTAATAAAGAATTTGCGGATACAAAAATTTCCGGATAGGTGTGGACGGGGCCTAAAAGGCGTATCCTACGAATCAGCAAGATAAGATAAAAAGGCGACTATTCGAAAAGTAGAAAAATTGCCTCAAAACTATTAATTTGGAGAATCCGGGTATCCATCCCGGTACCTCTCGCATGCAAAGCGAGCGCTCTACCATTTGAGCTAATCGCCCTTCTTTGGCAAATAAAGCATACTAGTTATGCTATCTATCTATCTATCTATCATTGTTAGCTCATCGTTCGTTTCGCCCCAATGCAGAGGCACGTCTACCTTTCAAGATGGCGCAGAGAGGATGGTCAAATATAGAGATGGAACCATCTGGACCTTCAACCATACACTAAACAGAATCTTCAACAGCAAGGAACCTGCTTATTGCTTACGATAAAAAGAATTTAGCAAAAAGAATTTCCCACACCGGGAATCGAACCCGGGCCACGGCGGTGAGAGCGCCGGATCCTAACCACTAGACCATATGGGAATATGATTACTCTGTATAATGAAAAACGTTCTTTTAAAATCCTTCAGCCTTAGGATAAAATATATCAAAAGAAGCTTGAATTTTTATTTATTTTTATTCTCTCGCCACTTTGATATACAAGAAAGCATAGTCAGTGACTCGGAATTAAGAGAAATGACAACGTTAGAGTACTTATAATTTACCAGGATAAACCGAAAATATTAAAAGTTGGAAAACAAATGGCATGTGTTATTCTGGTCGGAATGTTCCGGATTGGTTTAATTTGTAATCGTCCCTGATCAACAAGATTGGAAAAAACGAACAAAAGTAAAGTCAGGTTTGAAGTAAGGAATGAAAGATATTGAATGATCTATTCAGGAATAGCAGAGCAAGGTTTCGATCCTTGGACCTTTGGGTTATGGGCCCAGCACGCTTCCACTGCACCACTATGCTGATGAGCTGATTAATTTATACTTGTGAGAAAAGTAAGCAGCATTGTAGATCAGAACGACAACTATTATCATTCATTTTCTTTCTTTCGTCGTATTGCTTTGCCCAGATAACTAGCTCCAAATAGCTACCCGCATATAATAAATCTTGCTCCGTTATACAATTTTTTCCCCTATATTCCATGTTTTGTTTATGGTTTCTCACTCTTTTTGATCTGCTTAACATGTGGCTTTGCTGGGAGGGTGAAAAAGGAATATATAAATGATTTTTTTATATAACGTTAGTCTGTTTTCTCGACGTGTAAAATTGAGTGCTAAGTCATAGTTTACTAGAACAGTGCTTCAACCAGAAAGACACTACCTGCATCAAATATGTTACAACATAAGGTCCCGTCCACACGTACCGGTAAATTTTGGTATCTGCGATTTTTTTTTTGCGGATACGGGTTGCGTCCACACGTGTCCGCAAATTTTCGTATCCGTATCCGCACATTTTACGAAAACGAATACGTGTGGACAGTGAAAACGATTCGAAAACGATTCGAATACGCTGCGTGTGGACGCAAACATTTTCGTATCCGCAAAAAATAATTTGCGGATACACAAATTTCCGGATACGTGTGGACGGGGCCTAAAAGGCTTATCCTACGAATCAGTAAGATAAGATAAAAAGGCGACTATTTGAAAAGTAGAAAAGTTGATGCAAAAGTTAATTGAACTTGGAGAATCCGGATATCCATCCCGGTACCTCTCGCATGCAAAGCGAGCACTCTACCATTTGAGCTAATCCCCCATTCAGTTTTCTTTAAGTTACAAATGTTAGTTAGTACGCTATTATTAAGTTAGTATAATTAAATTGCTGGATCGTCGTATAAATGTTTTAGGAAATCACTGTAAAGGATGGTCAAATAGAGATGGAAACTTCTGTAGGTAAAAAAACTGAGAAGGTGAAAGAAAAAGAAATTAGATCGGTTGAGATATCCCTCACGTAATGATATATATCAGCAAGGAACGGTGCAAGTTTAAATGCATAAATATAAACCCCTTGCACTGAACACGTCGGAAAGCAAGTCAAATGATTGGGGGACATAACAGTAGGTTTCCAATTGTCATGTCATTGAGATTCTTTTCTTTTGTCCTCCAAATTGTGCTGTTTTCACGTCACATGCCAGGGGTACGTGTATTCACATGTCTGTATATCTGCAAGGTCACCGCCGTGTCTCGCTTTGANCTACTTTACACAATAGTCCCTTTCACAGTTCCCTGCACCATCTTGAAAAGTAGCCGGCCTTTGCATCGAAGGGAGACTAAATAKGAGCTTGCAATGATGGAGTTTTTTAAACTCCTTGAACAATTATTTACATATCTCTATCATTGTTAGCTCATCGTTCGTTTCGCTCCAATGCAGAGGCACGGCTACCTTTCATGATGGCGCAGAGAGGTTGGTCAAATATAGAGATGGAACCATCTGGACCTTCAACATTACACTAAACAGAATTTTCAACAGCAAGGAACCTGCTTATTGCTTACGATAAAAAGAATGTAGCAAAAAGAATTTCCCACACCGGGAATCGAACCCGGGCCACGGCGGTGAGAGCGCCGGATCCTAACCACTAGACCATATGGGAATATGATTAGTCTATAGTATGATGAAAAACGTTCTTTTAAAATCCTTCAGCCTTATCTTAAAATATATCAAAAGAAGCTTGAATTTTTATTTTTTTATGCTCTCGCCACTTTAATATACAAGAAAGCATAGTCAGTGACTCGGAATTAAGAGAAATGACAACGTTGGAGTACTTATAATTTACCAGGATAAACCGAAAATATTAAAAGTTGGAAAACAAATGGCATGTGTTATTCTGGTCGGAAAGTTCCGGATTGGTTTAATTTGTAATCGCCCCTGATCAACAAGATTGAAAAAAGCGAAAAAAAAAAAAGTAAGGTTTGAAGGAAGTAAGTAAGGAAGGAATGTAAAAAAATTGAAGCACAGGAATAGCAGAGCAAGGTTTCGATCCTTGGACCTCTGGGTTATGGGCCCAGCACGCTTCCACTGCGCCACTCTGCTGATGAGCTGTTAGATTCTTGTGGGAAAAGCAACCAGCATTGTAGAGCAGAACAACAACTATTTTCATTCACATTCTTTCTTTCGTCGTTTTGCTTTGCCCAGATAACTAGCTCCAAATAACTACCCACATATAATAAACCTTGCTCTGTTATACAATTGTTTTCCCTATATTCTGTGTTTTGTTTGTGATTTCTCATTCTTTTTGATCTGCTTAACATGTGGCTCTGCTGGGAGGGATGAAAAAGGAATATATAAATGATTTTTTAATCTAACGTTAGTCTCTTTTCTCAACGTGTAAAATTGAGTGCTTAGCCATAGCTTATTAGAACAGTGGTTCAACCAGAAAGACACTTAATCAAATATGCTACAACAAAAAGGCTTATCCTACGAATCTGTTCAATTGCACTGATAAGCAAGATAAGATAAAAAGGCGACTATTTGAAAAGTAGAAAAATTACCGCAAAACTAGTAACTTGGAGAACCCGGGTATCGATCCCGGTACCTCTCGCATGCAAAGGGAGCGCTCTACCATTTGAGCTAACCCCCATTCACTTTTCTATAAGTTACAAATGTTAGTTACGCTATTATTAAGTTAGTATAATTTAAAGTGCCTATCACCCTTCTGACGATATTCTCAGTACTGATTCTACATGGGGTAAGATGTTGAATAACCCGAAAAAATTACAAAGTTTGAGCGCGGCATCTTCAAGTTATAAAGGTTTTTCCACGCCAAATGCTAATGCTGTGACGTATGAAGAGTAATCATTTCATATACAAAACACTACTGGTACAGGTAAATTAAATTTGAAATACGTCATTGTTTTCCCCATTGCTCTTGTAGAAATTATTGCAAGCTAGCTTTTACATAGAAGCCGGTGTTTCGAATTACAAGGAACAACAAATAACCATAAATGCCTNTTGTTTGTATTGTTTAGCGATAACACTGTACCAAAAAAGAATTTCCCACACCGGGAATCGAACCCGGGCCACGGCGGTGAGAGCGCCGGATCCTAACCACTAGACCATATGGGACTATGATTAATCTATGGTCTATGATTATGACTTATGGTATAAACCAGGGCCCAAATGTACGAAGGGTTCATAGCGCTATTGGAAACATTTTATGCAGCAGATAAATTTCTAGGATAACCTGCAGCATCGACTTATTCACTGAAAGTCGGAAAACAGATAGCAATTGTTATTCTGATCGGAAAGTTCCGCAAAACTCGGTTTCTTCCGATTGGGAGAATCCACTTTTCCCGCTCTTTTCGGTTTTTCGGTTGACGCGTGTAGCGTTTGTCGGTAAAGTCAAAGTTTCAGCTTTGTTCTAATGGTTTAAATAGTAAGCATCCCGGATCAACATGAGTAAAAATAGGGGAAATTTAGGTTTGAAGAAAGGAAGTAAGGATATAACATGTATAACATGTATTAAAAATCGAGGAGTCATATCGCGAAAAAACGTCGTTGCGAATCGTCCCGTGTAACATCACCTTAAAAAAGCAATTAGGGATTCAAATAGAAGAAAAGTTGATGCAAAAATTAATTGAACTTGGAGAATCCGGGTATCGATCCCGGTACCTCTCGCATGCTAAGCGAGCGCTCTACCATTTGAGCTAATCCCCCTTGTTCTCACATGAATCACATGGTAGTTACGCTATTATTACAATATATTATATAAATGTTTTAGTAATTTGACTCGAAAAGATGGCCAGATATGTAGATAAGTGGAACTATTAGTAT